AATTAATCTTCACCTGCAGCAAGTGCAACATATATTATCACGCAAGGGTCGGGGGTCGGACTCTTCAGCTACTCGCGACGGTGCAGATAAGGCACCAAAACAGGGAGGTACACCATCGTCTCTCGTAGACGGACGGATGCCAACAACAAAAACAAATTAAGCGACAATTCAGATACAGCTTTCAGCTTTCGAATTTATGAAACATAATCTGAAACTGGGATAGTTTATGCATCCATTCTGAAACATGTGTCCTATAATTCGGATAGTATATATATATATATATATATATATATATATATACCGTAGATAGGTAATGAAACATAGCATTCCATGGCACTAATTTACCGGAACACAGTTTCTGAAAGTTATTGCCGTATTTCCTTGCAATGAGAAAATTATACCGATGCTCGAGTCAAATAATAAACAATACTTTGCGACTCAAACTTCACAAACAATTCATCAGGCCTATTTGTTTGAAAAATGGTTGAATATACGATAGATTCCGATCTTGTGTTAAGATATTTTACTAATACGTCTGTTCATATGAAATAGCATATCACACGGGGGATTGCAAGAAAACACAATCTAATGATCAAAATCAATAAATGCTAAATCTGTATGTATCAAATGCTTCAAATGATAAAAAATATTGTATGAGTAGATTTTCGTCCAAAGTACGCAAGTGGTGAACAATAACCGAAGTAACCAAACATATACTTAATATATTAAAGAGAGTAATGTTAAATTTATTGACAAATAAAAGTGGAACTGCTGACATATTATATATCTATATGACACATTACACCCTCATATTAGTTATTCATTTGAGAACAAAATCAAGGTAAAACAAGATAAAATTATGTTGACTAGCTCAGAGAACCACACCTGCAATACGAAACAGTGATTACGAACACTGTGAGAGCGATGACCTTCTCTTCTCAAGCTCAAGGATAGTAAGGAAGTCAATAATGTCGTCTATTGACTCGCATGAATTTGCTGAGTTTTTTTCTATTATTTTGGGGTATATATTAAGATTATTATTGTTTCTTGGTAAACAAGTTCAATTGGATTTGAGCTTACGACGTTGGTTTTCCCTTCTGGAATTAAAGGTGTACATGCTGTTTTCCTTGACCTTTACTAAAATATTATTAATTTACCTGATATTATTTACAATGTAGAATGTTCTAAAAGTAAACGTTTTACCCTCATCATGGTCTTGATTTTGCTATAAGATTGCATTAAACATCTTAACATCTAAATTCGAATCGGTCTTTTTGTTGCAGTCAGTTTTAAATTTGAGAGAATTTATCTATTATTATTCACTGGAGTTACAAAGTGCTCAATAATACTTTCGGACTAAATCACTATTTTGGGATTATTGTGAACTATGCAAATCTTTGATTATATCATTGTGATACATCAAAAATATTGGCACAGCAATACAACTTTAGGATCTTGGTAAATCAGAACATTTAAGATTGGAAATCTTTCTGAACACCACTTGAATTCATTGGAATATTCTATACTTTCAGACTCGTGATAAAACTTTTCGGACTGTTTGCGTTTCGATTCATAATCAATCTGTTCTGCTGACTACTCTTAATAAACTGCTTGGACTTAATTCTGAAGGTTTACTCCATGGAGGTAGATCTGTGTCTATTCAGTTTGCAGATGGACTTATAAGCGAGTAAGAAGATATAGTAAAATGTTATTTCTCTATGTAGTGTGGATACACCATCCACTCAGAAAAGGTTGGCTGAAGGCAAACTTGCATACATCATTAAACTCGTACACTAGCAAATATACTGTTTACAAATAGATGAGCATACGGGCAAATAAGAAAACAATTAAGGCACAAGATGGTGTGAGCAGGTATTGTAAACACATTATATGCACACGCATTGCTGATTGAATGGAATTAATGCTAAATTTAAAAGGGTATGTAGTCCAAAGAATGTACGGTTTTAACAAATGTAATGTTTTAAAAGATAATGTACATATAGAAGAGCATTCGTAAATTAAATTGCATATAACAGATTATGTAAAGAATAATTTTGAATGCATTATATGTATTCATGCTTACAACTTATACAAGTATATTTTAGTTTGGTGGATCAGTGAAAACTTTGGAATTTAACATCAGATATGTTTCGACAACATAAGTAGTGCACGCTTTACTCTATAAATAAACATGTCAAGTAACCCGAAACTCGAATAGATTATTTAGCAACCAGAGAAAACGTCAGGCAGTTTCTTAAGATGCTGTTGAAAACATTGGCTATACCACGCAGATTGGAAAGGATAAAAAGTTCAGCGTCAAATATTACGCAACCCCAAACGATATGGGAAGCGTTTTTATAGAGATACAGTTGGGAACAAACAGAAATTATGAATATCTGAAGTAGATGTGATTGAATATGGTACATACTATTAAATGTAATGTGACTTAAGAAGCCTATGATGTATACCTTGTTGATTTACAATTGCGAATGAAATGAAACTATAGTTCAGGTAGATGAGATGTAATATGGTATTCATGAATACGACAGACTCAAAGTGAAGTACACAGTAACCAGCTACACACACATTAACCAACGACTCACCCATAGACTGCCATCTTCACAGTAAACATAGTAACCAGTTATCCAGTCAGAAACTATTTACCCAAACAGTAACCAGTCATCAAAACTGTATCCAGCCAAAATGCGGGACCATGATGCTAACATCAATGATAAAAAGATCAAGAAAGAACGTTCAATGCAACCATTGTTTGCATTGCAAAAATATGTATTCATAAATAATTATTTTATATTAAGATTATATTAAACCAGGAAAATTGCGATAAAAAGAATTCGGACTTTGTAAAAAGGGATCAGGTTTATTGCAAATATTTGAAAACAAATTAATTGAAAGTATTGATTGTTGTTGCGATTCAATCTCTAATACTATTTGGCATTAAAATGGATAATTATAATTAACCAAAAGATACAATTGAATATGAATCGAAACGTTTAATAATTTAGGTAGACCAATCATCAAATTGGCATTTACCATCTTTTATCTCAAAGCCTGTAAAGAATAGCACAGGCTATCCAAATGCAGGCTTAAATGCAAGAAGATATAAACACAAATGATAACTAAAATGCAACAAACACACGCTATTCAGATGCTCACTGAAATGTAAACTTCTAGGACAACACGCTATCCAGATGCTCACTGAAATAGAAGCTTCTAATAACACACGCTATCCAGATGCTCACTAAAATGTAAGCTTCTAGGAACATACGCTATCCAAATGCTCACTGAAATGTAAGCTTCTAGGAAAACACGCTATCCAAATGCTCACTGAAATGTAAGCATCTAGGAACACACGCGCTATCCAAATGCTCACTGAAATATAAGCATCTAGGAACACACGCTATCCAGATGCTCACTGAAATGTAAGCTTCTAGGAAAACACGCTATCCAAATGCTCACTGAAATGTAAGCATCTAGGAACACACGCGCTATCCAAATGCTCACTGAAATATAAGCATCTAGGAACACACGCTATCCAGATGCTCACTGAAATATAAGCATCTAGGAACAAACGCTATCCAAATACTCACTGAAATGTAAGCTTCTAGGAAGACACGCTATCCAGATACTCACTGAAATGTAAGCTTCTAGGAACACACGCTATCCAGATGCTCACTGAAATGTAAGCTTCTAGGAACACACGCTATCCAAATATTCACTGAAATGTAAGCTTCAAGGAACACACGCTATCCAGATGCTCACTGAAATTTAAGCTTCTAGGAAGACACGCTATCCAGATACTCACTGAAATGTAAGCTTCTAGGAACACACGCTATCCAAATACTCACTGAAATGTAAGCTTCAAGGAACACACGCTATCCAAATACTCACCGAAATGTAAGCTTCTAGGAAGACACGCTATCCAGATACTCACTGAAATGTAAGCTTCTAGGAACACACGCTATCCAGATGCTCACTGAAATGTAAGCTTCTAGGAACACACGCTATCCAAATACTCACTGAAATGTAAGCTTCAAGGAACACACGCTATCCAGATGCTCACTGAAATGTAAGCTTCTAGGAACACACGCTATCCAAATGCTCACTGAAATGTAAGCTTCTAGGAACACACGCTATCCATGTTGCTAAATGAAATGCAAATATATATGAAACCTTCGTGCTTCAAACATGGTAATTCTCATCGAAGTTAAAAGTAAACAGTGGCCAACTACAACTTTAAAATTATTAAAAGGAATAAACCTGTAGAATATACATAAGCTACCCCCTACTGAGATAAAATTCAGTGAACATAGATTATATATATATATATATATATATATATATATATATATATATATATATATATATATATATATATATATATATATATATATATATATATACACATATAGACATGCTTAGTCGTGACGGTATATGGGTTGGTGCGTGCAGGCAAGGCGATGGGAGCCATTTACTCGCGGACCTGGGTTCGAAACTCGGTAGAGTACGAATTTAATTTCTCTAACCTGTATGATAGTATTGTTTGTATTAAGCTATTATTTCTGCCCACTATTATCAAGATTCTGCTACAGAATCCAGGGATAGCACAGTCTGTTCTGTCTGTTATATATATATATATATATATATATATATATATATATATATATATATATATATATATATATAGAGAGAGAGAGAGAGAGAGAGAGAGAGAGAGAGAGAGAGAGAGAGAGAGAGCAAACAAATGTGTGTGTGACTTTTAACGTAGCTTTAACAACGTTTCGGTCATATCTTTACGATGTCTTCAGTGTGGCAGTTTATAGTGATATTTAGCACTGAAGCATCATGCTTCAGACATGTGGCATGATGTCCCACTCTGTCACATTATCTTTACACCAGGCCAACCAGATCTAACACTAAACGCTTAATACTGAATGTCAAGCAAGGATGCTGTTAGCATCATTTTTTTAAAGTCTTTGGTATGACTCGCCCTGGGTTCAAACCAACGACCTTCCGCATCTGAGGCGGACGCACTAACCACTAGAGCACCGGAGTG